CAGGCTTGGTCTTTGGCCATTGAAAATGCTCACACCTGGACTGGTGTGTAGCGAATGCCCATCAGCATGCTGCTTAACCTGCAGCTGTGCTCTGGTCTGAGTGTGCCCCTGGGTGCAGCCGGGACATCTGGGCCTTGCTGCTGCTGAGGCACCACGCCTGCCTCTCCATCCCATCGTGCTGACTCCCTGGAGGTGGTCTCCACTGCGCCCAGCAAGGAGAACAGGTTGAAAAGGGCAGTCGAAGAGCAAGGTGCCGATAAACTAGCAATTTATACACGGACCGTAACCTTTAAAGTAGTTAATAAAATGAGATCTTGCTGCAATGGACTAGAAAATAGAAAGATAATTTTTACACACAGAAACAGTTTTGTGTGTGTGTGTGTGTGTGTGTGTGTGTGTGTGTGTGTTTATTATAATGTTCAACAGCAGACTAAAAAATATCAGGTGAGTTAAGATACTTCTTTACTTTCCCAGAAGGTCAAATATCTATTCTTATTGTTAATATTACTGGCATTCATTTTACAACATGTTAAGTGATAAACAGGGAATAGAAAGTGAAGAAAAGGGGACCAACAATTGTTGAATGATGGATATAAATTGTTCACCTCCATTATTTCATTTAAAGGACATGAGTGTTGTCCGGCCAGTGTGGCTCAGTGGTTGAGCATTGACCCATGCACCAAGAAGTCGCTGGTTTAATTCCCGGTCAGGACACATGCTCAGGTTGTGGGCCAAATCCCCAGTGGAGGCCATGCAGGAGGTGGCCAGTTGATGTTCTCTCTGATCAATGTTTCTATCTCTCTTTCCCTCTCCCTTCCTCTCTCTCTAAAATCAATAAAGAAAAAAAATTATAAAGGACACTAGTGTTCTTTTTCTTGGGAACTTATAAACTCTTCAGCAACCTCCCTAACAACTAGTAAGGCACTAACATAACGAAGGTTGAGTTGATGATTTGGATACAAGGGTCAGTAGGTGGTCTTTGGTGATGTAGTCCTGATCATAGGGTCATAAGTTTATAATGGACAGGGTGACTTTAGCCTGAGGTATTTCTGGGTCCCTGTGGCTCTGCAGTAATCTGGGTCAACTTTCCGTAGCAACAGCACAGACAACATTACAAAACGATTTACCAAGATTTTGGGGTGTTGTGTGTTCATTTTTATTTGTTTCCAGGAACTTTTTCATTTCTTTCTTGATTTCCTTGGTAATCCATTCATTGTTTAATAATATGCCATTTAGCTTCCATGTGTTTGAATGATTTTGAATGTTTTTACTGTAGTTGATTTCTAGTTTCATGCCACTGTGATCCGAGGAGATGTTGGATATGACTTCAATCTTCTTGAACTTGTAGAGATTCAGTTTGTGTCCTAACATGTGGTCTATCTTTGAAAATGTCCCTTACGCACTTGAGAATAATGCATATTCTTCAGCTTTGGGGTGAAATGTTCTGTAAATATCAATTACATCCATCTGATCTAGTGTGTTGTTTAAGGTCTCTGTTTACTTGTTGATTCTTTGTCTAGAAGATATATCCAGTGATGTCAGTTGGGTGTTAAAGTCCCCTACTCTGATTGTATTGCTCTCAATCTCTTCCTTAAAGTCCTCCTGCATTTTAAAATATATTTTGGTGCTCCTATATTGGGTGCATATATGTTTACTAGGGTTATGTCCTCTTGTTGGAACAATCTTTATAATATTATGTAGTGCCCTTCTTTGTCTCTTGTTATGGCCTTCATTTTGAAGTCTATTTTATCAGATTATTGTTACTGCAGCTTTTTTTTTTTCCATTTCCATTTGCTTGGAAAATTTTTTTCATCCCTTCATTTTAATCCTGTGTCTTTTTTTTTTAAATCCTTACCTGAGGACATTTTTTTTTTTTTCATTTTTTTGTTCAGATAGAGTGGGAGGGAGAGAGAGAAAGAGAGACAGAGAGAGAGAGAAAGAGAAACATCGACGTGAAAGGGTCACATCGAGTGGCTGTCACCCACATGACCCCACCAGGGCAGGGGAAAAACTGCAACCAAGATAAGTGCCCTTAGCAGGAACCGAACCCAGGTCTCTCTGGACCACAGATCGACACTCTAACAGCTGAGTCAAACCAGCCAGGGCCTGTGTGAGTCTTGGAGATGGGTCGCTTGTAGACAGCATATACATGAATCATGCCTTCTTATCCAATCAGCTATCCTATGTCCTTTGATTGGAGCATTTAAGCCATTTATATTTAAGCTTATTATTGATAGGTACTTATTTGTTGCCTTTTTATTCTTTATGCATGTGTTCCCCTCTCTCTTCTCCTTCTCCTCCTCCATCCCCTCCCTCTTTTTCTTCCCCTTCTTCTTTTTCTCCTCCTCCTCCTCCTTCTTCTTCTTTTTCTCCTTCTTCCACTTCTCCTTCTCCTCCTTCTCCTTCATCTCCAACAGTCCTTTTAGCATTTCTTGCAATGCTGGTTTTGTGGTAATAAACTCCTCTAGCCCCTTTTTTTTTGGTCTGCAAAGCTCTCTATTTCACCTTCAATTTTGAATGACAGCCTTGCTAGATAGAGTAGTCTTGGATTCAGACTCCTGCTTTTTATTACTTTGTATATTCATGCCACTCCCTTCTGGCCTGCAGTGTTTCTGTTAAGAAATCAGCAGACAGTCTAATGGGAGTGCCCTTGTAGGTAACTTCCTGTTTCTCTCTTGCTGCCTTTAAGATTCTTTTTTTGTCTCTAACATTTGCCATTTTAATTTTGATGTGTATAGGTGTGGGTATTTTGGGGTTCATCTTGAGTAGGACTTTCTTTGTTTCCTGTACTTGCGTGACTTTTTTCTTCACCAGGTTACAAAAATTTTCTGTCATTATTTTTTCAAATAGGTTTTCTATTCCTTTTTCTGATTCTTCTCCTTCTGGTACCCCTATGATGCGAATGTTTTTACATTTCATATTGTCTCATAGCTCCCTTACTCTCCTCCTGCTTTTTAATGTTTTTTTTTCCATTTGCTACTCTAATTGGGTGGGTTTTTTTCTAACTTTTCTTCTATCTCAGTGATTCAGTTCTCAGCTTCTTCTAATCTACTATTGAATACTTCCAAGGTGTTCTTTATTTCAGCTATGTCATTCTTCATTTCCTCTTATTATTCATAGCTTCTACCTCATTTTTCAAGCTCCTTTTAAGTTCTTTATAATTACCATTAAGTTGCTTGTAATTCTCACTAAGTTGTTTGAATAGCCTTACTACCATTATTTTGAATTTTTTCTCTGACAAACTGCTTGCCTCCATTTCATTTAGCTCCTTTTCTGGTGATTCCTCCTTTACTTTCATTTGGGGGTTGTTTCTTTGTCTCACCATTTTTGTGGTCTGGTAGTTCAGGGTGCATTGGGTTGCACTGGCAAGTTGGTGTATCCAGGGGCATTGGGTTGTGCCAGGGCCAGATCTCAGATCCAGCCTGGTCACTGGGGGTGTTGGTGGCTTTCAGTGATGGCTGCAGCAGCAGGCCAAGTGACTCTTGGCTGCTGCAGGATCTGTGGGGTCAGTGGCTCTGGGCTAGCCCATGGCCATTGGGGCCAGTACCTCTCTTCTATTGTGAATCTGGGAGGATTGACAGCTAGTGGCTCATGGCCATGTGTCATTTTAGGTGCTGCTGGGTTGTGTGAGTCCAGCTGGTGTGCTGCTGGTGTCTGTGGGTCCCGAGGCACCACTGTTGCCTGGTGGGTCTTGACTCTACAGCCTCCACTGCTGCTACCGCTGGGGACAGGGTTGGCTCCCGAGCTGAGGCTGCTGCTGCCGCCAGGTTGGGGCTCAACCTGCGGGCCAGTGTTGTCACAGTGGAGGCTGCTGGTCCAATGGTGCAAGGAGCACTGTGACCATGGGGCACTGGACCTAGCCACTCCTCACTGCTTCCTCCCAAGAAGGACCCAGTGGATTTTCCAAAATGGCTGGGCCTTCCACCCCCAAACAGGAGAAGTGCCCTGCCAAGGGGTGCACAGCAGTAGGCGGCTGTTACCCCGTCCCAGCACTGGAACCTTGAGTTTCTACACTGCCACAGGATGCTCATCCACACACGCACCCACACCCATGCACTCACCATCTCCCACACTCATCCTCACTTAGGTCTTGCCCACCACCATGTTCTTCCTAAAATCTCCTAATTTTAAATGTCAGCTCCACCACTTACTATGGGCTAAGTAAACTAGGTATATATAGTTCCTAACTTTGAATCCTTCTGTAAATTAATGAGAACATTCCTAAAAGGCAGTTAGCAAGCACCCCATGGTAACATAGTTCACTTTCCATACATCAACTTTTATTATTATTTAGATTTAAAGTACCAACTATTAAAATGCAAATTACCCTAGGGAGGTACCCTGTTCCCAGTTAACGCTTCTGGAGGTATTCTCCCCAACTGAATGTCAGCTAAGATGCAGTGAGCATCAAAGATCAGGGACCGAAACCCAGGAGGAGCAGGGACGGAGTCAAAGGAGAGAAATGGCTTTGACATTCTGTAGGAGCCACAGTGACTCTTCTATGTGGAAAAGCACCCAGTCGTTGCGGCTGCCCAAGTGTAAACCTCGCTGCTGAGACAGGCAATCGAATCTGTGTCTCCAGATCAGAGGACCGTGGCCCTGTGGACCTCAGGGGCTGCCCCTTTCTCTATGAACCGTTCCACCTCAGAGGACTCTCTGTGCACTTGCTGTGTTAAGAGGTATTAAGCTGTAAAGCCTCCACATAGCTCCGTTTTCTGGCCTGCCACAGAGTGTGTGCAAAGAGTTAAACACGGTGTGGAGGCGTGCACATCCTGCAGAGGCTGCTGCATGGGCTCTTGCTGTGAACAGCTATTCATTCCTAAGGTCACCCATCACCTCTATCCATCAGTCATCTATAGACTTCAACATTCCTTCCCAGCCAGCAAGGAGAGAGGAGGGCATGGCAGTGGAGACTTTCAGTGAAGCTGTTGTATTCCAAATGGATAAACTGTCATCTGTTTCTCCCCAGAGGACCCCGAGGGGCTGGTTCGCACACTCACCTGTGAGGCCGGCGGCTTCGGCAGACAGGAAGGCGCTCCAGGACAGGAGGAAGAACAGGCCTGTTTCCAGCAGGGGGAACTCGTGCAGCTTGGTAAACTTGGTCAAGTGGCAAAGGTGCGTTAAGGGAAACAGCAAACGCTCTGACATGTAGCTGTGTTCATTTCTGTGTAAGAGACCGATTTCAGACCTGCCTGGGCAGCGACTCGCTCCGCAGCTGCCGTGGAGGCCAGCATGGCTTCCCGGCTTCACCGGGGCTGCCCCTCCAGTGAAATACAAACCCGTGTTCCAATAAAGAAGAAAGAGCATCTTACTAAGAGGAAAACTTCAGCTAACTGTGGGTGCAAAACCCCTTGAATTTGAGCCTGGGCCTTGGATGTGCCCCTCAGGAGCCTGGAGCAGACCCAGGAGAACAAAGCTCAGAGTGTGGGTGGATGAGATGCTGCAGGTGTGTCAGCACCAAACGAGGCCACTGCTCCCTGGGGAGGGCGTCTGCGCACAGATCGCCCGGAGCACTCGTCTGTCTTCCTGGGGAGGGCAATCGGGTCAGCGGTAAGGACTGACCATGCCCGCTTGGTGTAAGTAGGATAGAGGAAAACGTGTATCACATCTAGGTCAGGCAAGAAGCCCTTTGGCAGGCAGACGTTCATTTTGGCCAGGATGACACTTGACCAATGGCCTACAAATTGCAAATAGAGCAAAGACATATTGTCCAAGTCAAGCAGAGAATGGGTTTTGGAGAGATGATTAGGAGTATGTGATCGGTGGGAAAGGGTGACATCACAATCGTGTCCATGGTTAGGCAAAAACACTCACGAATGAAGAGATAAAATGTTGCATTTTCCATGCTTCTAGAAACAAATCTAAAGAAGAGTTCACATTAAGAGGTGTTTGGCAGCAGGGCAGGGAAGCAAAAAGTATGACACTTGGGTAGAAGATCCAGTTTCATGTTTTGGCTCTGCAAGTCATTGGCTGGGTGATTTCTGAGCAACATATTAACCTCTCTGAGTCTCATTTCTATCCTACATGAATTGTCAAGGACAATGACTCCTACTCATACAAGGGTGAAGAGTAAAGTAAGATAAAGTATTTTTTAAAAGTTTTGTAGCCTGGTGTGGCTCAGTGGATTGAGCGTTGTCCCATGGACTGAGAGTTCCTGGTTCGATTCCCAGTCAGGGCAAATGCCCAGGTTTCAGGCTTGATCCCCAATAGGGGGTGTGCAGGGGGTAACCAATAGATGTATCTCTCTCACATCAATGTTTCTATTTCTCCCTCCCTCTCTGTGTAAAAATTCAATAAAAACATATTAAAAAATGTTTTGTAAAGTATTAGAAGCACAAAATACCGATAAGAAGCAGAGTTTGTCACAGTTGAGGGTGTGTCCTCTGGATGTCAACTCTACCTGGGTTCAGATTCACTGTATTAGCTTGGACATGTCCCTTGGCCACTCTGCCTGGGTTTCCCTGTGTGGAGATGGGGATGATAACTCACCCTACGTCCTCAGTGCAGCACAAGTTAGTCTGCGCTGAGCACTCAGAAGAGGGTGCCTGGCAGGCAACAAAGGACATGCTCATTGCCCTGTCAGAGAGCCGAATGACGTGTTTGTAAAATTCCGTTTCCGGAAGCAGACTCAGAGGGATCTGGAGGCAGTTCTTTGCTGGAGGAGAGCACGGGCTGCCAGACCGTTTGCGGCGTCTCCCCTCCTTCCCAGGAGGGCAGGGTTAGTTTCCAGCAGGGCTCGCTCCTCTGACCCTCTTCCAGTTTGCTGCGGAAGGCGCAGGACATCAGGTGCGCACAGGGCACTTTTTCCTCCACCCTCCTCCAGAAAGGAGTTCAGTTCTGGGCCTGCACCCCAAGCTCGCCGTGGCCTGCACCCCGAGGAGCCCCCGCCTCCCTGTGGCCGAGGTGTGGGGTCCTGACCGCGAGGGAGCGCATGCGCGCCTGTCTCCTGCACACCCTGACTCTCAGCACCGAGGCCCCGGGGCCGCCTGGTTGACCTTGCTACTGTGCTGAGTCAGTCTCCTCTGCCTCTCCACCCTGTTGTCGACCTCTGATCCCAGTTCATGGCAGACTTTCCGTCTCCAGGAATTTTCTCCCTTCCCTTCCCGACTCATCTACTTTGGTGCCACACAGGCCCTTCCCGTGGGCAGGGAGGAGCTGTGGTCTAGGCTGTTCCGCCTCAGGCCGGCTCTGTCCCCGCTCTGTCCCGCTGTACGGCCTCGGACACTTGTTTAACGTTCACGTGTCTATTTCCTCAGCTGTGAACTTGAGAAGTAACAGTCTCCCGGACCCCAGGACTCTCAGATGAACTGTCTGAGATACCACACAAAGGCTAAGGACAATGGCTGGCACATGGAGGTGTTTTCAACAAATGTTGGAAACATTATCATGTTAATTACTACTGATATGTGATGCTCGACCTCGTTCCCCCCATGTTCAAGTCAGGGCAATCACAACCTGTCTGCTAGGGTTGATTCAAATGAGGGGATATGTAGGCCCTGGCACATGCTGCCATCTGCTAACTGTGGTCACCAGCATTACCAACCATGTGAACCTGTGCCCTCCATTATAATCCCCCTGAGTGATCCAGAGGGGACAGGGCGCGGTGACCAGGAGCAGGTTGGTCTCTCGGTTCACCCCCTGGGTTTGAATCATGGCTCTCCCTACTGGCTGCGTGACCTTGAGCAACAACTTGCCCTTGTACGTAAGCTTCAATGTCCAGGGCAAAGAGCATCTGTGTGATATTATTGTGACGGTCAAATGAAGTAGTGCATGTAAGACTAATGTAGGGGTCCTGGGTAGATTATTAGTCAGTATTTTTGTTAGAAATCAGCCCTACCTTTTCTGACTTTCTTTATTGCTCTCAGTGGAGTTGGTATTCTCTCGGGCTTCCAGGACAGAACTTAGGAATGGACTTGGATTCTGTCCCTTTCTTTCTCTCATAACCAACCAGCCAATAATTCTAGAGATTATTCTAAATATTGGTTTCCTTTTCAATGTTTTCCCCACAATTCGTCATCAGTTTTCCTTGATTCGAATCCTCCTGATCGCATCATCCTACATACCAGTGACTCATTTATGTTTCAAAGCAGGACTTCCAGAGTGTCACCCTCCTTTGAGTAACACTCTGAGATGCTCCACAGGTGACTCCTTCCCACTGAGTCCCTCAGCTTCCATCGCTCACCCTCCCAGGCACAAGCCGTGTGCCCCCTCAGTCCCACCCACGTCCTGGGAACCGAGTCTAACTTGGCATGTAAACCTGCTCTCAGACGATTTTCCAGAATCACAAGCTTGGCCATGAGTCTGCTGGATGAATCCAGACACAGGGTCCTCATCTCCATTTCAATTGGTACCGTCCCAGTAAAGTGGCTGTGGCTTTGCGCTCACTTTCTACCCAGCTGCCTTCCCACGCTTGTCACCAGTGAGGAGAGGGCCCGTGTGTTACTTGTATCTCAGCACCTTAGGAACCCGGTAGAACCCAGCCTTTTAGTAGCTGGCAGTCCCCATGGAAAAAGACCCCAGCAGTATTTTTCTTTGCCTGGGCCCTGGACCCCTCCTACCTTTCTTCCTTCTCTTTTCCTCAAGGTCTTTAGTTTTTAATCCTTCGCATCTTCTCTGTGGCTTCATTAGGCTCTCACCCTTGACGTCGGCCTTTAGGGTCTCCTCCTCAGCTCGGACTCATTTCTGCCCCTCTGACTGCGCTGAGCGAACAGCCCTCCAGACCAGCTTCATGCTCTGGCTCAGACCCCTGCGAACCCCACCGGCCCCCCTGCTGAAGAGGGAAGGAGATGGCAAACAGCATGTCTGCCCTGCTCACAGCCCCTTGCCACCAAGGAGCAACGGGTGCTTGTTTACCCCACGACTTCGGCCTGGCCAGCGCTGTGAGCTAGGGACCGGTGCACGCTTGGGGGACGCAGAGGACACGGGTGCCTACGCCACCCTGACAGCCAGTCATGCCCTGCACTGCAGTTCTCCTCTTGACCCCGATCTAGCCCATCCCGATGCCCCTGCCCACCTGTTCCCTGACATTGAATATCCAAGGATCAGATAGTATCAGGAGTGCTGGCACTGGCCTGGGACAAGGGAAGAGCCTGGGCCCCTCTGCTCCGGGGACAGCCTCTGCCTGGAGGGCGACTCCGATGGTCCAGGGCCCTGTGTCACCTCGGACCAGACTGGCCATGTCCAGGCCTGGAGAGTGTCCGTTTTCAGAAACACGGCAGAGACATGGACTGCTCTGACCAGTCCCCAGCTTTCCACACGCAGACAAAGGATATCAGTGCGGTGACAACAGCGTACGCCGACCCCATGGCGAACGAGCCGGCGAAGATGCCCAGGAAGTTCCCCACGGACTGGAAGAAGGCCGCGGCGTCGAAGGCGTTGGGGTTCTCCTTGGGACTGTAGATGGATATGGAGCTGAAAGGGAAATGGGTGAAGGTCAGTCGGTGAGTTCCATCTTACAGCCCGAGCAGCGGAAGTCGGAATTTGACCCACTTTTGGGAAGGGCGGCTTCTCCTGTGAGGTTAGGTGCTGGTTAGGAGAGTGCAGGGGAGGGACGAGGGCGGGAGAGGTGGGGAAAGCCAGGGCCTTCCCTTTGCTACAGTCCCGCCCCAATGCACCCACATACTGCTACAGGCCCGCCCCAATGCACCCACATATTGCTGCCAGGCCCGCCCCAATGCACCCACATATTGCTGCCAGGCCCGCCCCATCGCACCCACATACTGCTGCAGTCCCGCCCCAAGGCACCCACATATTGCTACAGTCCCGTCCCATCGCACCCACATATTGCTACAGTCCCGTCCCATCGCACCCACATATTGCTGCCAGGCCCGCCCCATCGCACCCACATACTGCTGCAGTCCCGCCCCAAGGCACCCACATATTGCTACAGTCCCGTCCCATCGCACCCACATATTGCTACAGGCCCGCCCCATGGCACCCACATAATGCTACATTCCCACCCCATGGCACCCACATATTGCTACAGTCCCGCCCCAAGGCACCCACATATTGCTGCCAGGCCCGCCCCATGGCACCCACATATTGCTGCCAGGCCCGCCTCATGGTACCCACATATTGCTGCCAGGCCCACCCCATGGTACCCACATATTACGGCCATCCTGTCCCATGGCACCCACATATTGCTGCCAGGCCCACCCCTTGGTACCCACATATTACGGCCATCCCGTCCCATGGCACCCACATATTGCTGCCAGGCCCACCCCTTGGTACCCACATATTACGGCCATCCCGTCCCATGGCACCCACATATTGCTGCCAGGCCCACCCCATGGCACCCACATATTGCTGCCAGGCCCACCCCATGGTACCCACATATTACGGCCATCCCGTCCCATGGCACCCACATATTGCTGCCAGGCCCACCCCTTGGTCCCACATATTACGGCCATCCCGTCCCATGGCACCCACATATTGCTGCCAGGCCCACCCCATGGTACCCACATATTGCTGCCAGGCCCACCCCATGGTACCCACATATTGCTACAGGCCCACCCCATGGCACCCACATATTGCTGCCAGGCCCACCCCATGGTACCCACATATTGCTACAGGCCCACCCCATGGCACCTACATATTGCTGCCAGGCCCGACCCATGGCACCCACATATTGCTGCCAGGCCCGCCCCATGGCACCCACATATTGCTGCCAGGCCCACCCCATGGCACCCACATATTGCTGCCAGTCTCAGTCCATCGTACCCATATATTCTGCCAGTCAGCAAACATTGTTATATTGGAAGGGTCATAAGAACATTGTTTCTGAGCAAACCAGGCATTGAAACATGGTAAGTGTATCAGGAATCTGCTGAGGAGACAGATGACAGAACTAGTCAGTGGTCGTATGTCATCAGTGCCGCTATATACTCACCAACGTTCCTGATAAAAGTACACTTTTCTGGCCTGTGCACAGTGGGTGATAAAATCACAGCGTGCACAAAATATTCTGCTGTGATATTGTCATAAACCACAAAGCAGCCCTCCTTCCAGGGTAACCTCAGACACAGAGCCCAGGCGAGAGCATCCCAGGACCAGCCCTGGGGAGAAACAAAACCCGCATTTCCCACGGAAACAAATGGCCGCAGCTGCCCGCGCTCATATTTTACGCACCATTCTGGTGGCTGCCAACAGATTGATTGCCGTAGAGAGCAATCCGTCTACCCACAGGCAGTGTGTTTGCTTAAATATTTTTGAGGATGTCATATTTGTTTTGTTTGTTTGTTTGTTTTTAACCAGGGCCTCAAATCCCAGAGTTGATGTGAGGGGCCAGGTGGGCCCTATTTTAGGAAACGGAACCTCCGCATTGCAGCACTAACACGAACAGACTGCCGGTATTTCGGGGATCCTCGAAAAGTAACACTGGAGATATTTTTCAGTTTCAATTTGTGTGTGGGGGGGTACCTGCCCCTATCAGGAACCGAACCCAGGACTCTCTGGTCTGCAGGCCGATGCTCAACCACTGGGCCAAACTGGCCAGGGCTCAGTTTTAATTTTAATAAGAGTGAGAGCAAGTCCACTGGACACCGTGACTGTGCAGGGGTGAAACTGGACCTTCCAGGCTGGATGATTACAGCATCGTGACTCAGACCTGACTTTCTGTGTCAGGAGACGAGTTAAGAGAACAGGAGGCCTGGATTCCAATTCTCCCACAGGAAGACGTGTGGCTTTTTTAAAAGTAGTTTTCAATGCTCCTGGTGTTTCCCTGGATGTTCTTGAACCCCTACAGTAGGGCCAGCAGGTTGGCTTTGATCATGTATTGGATAAGGAGGACGGATGTGGATCTCAATGGGGCCTGAGATGTGTACCGGAAAAGGATCGCCGCTGTAGTGCTTTTCTGTTTGTAAAGAGCTGTGCTTTGCAGGGGAAAAAGCAAATTCAGATTCGGGTCCTTTGTCCCTGACGGTCCTGGGAAAGGGCGTGAGGCCCGTGACCAAGGCTGCAAAGCCAGATGTGCAAGCTGACATTTCCCCACCAAGGAAGAAACACATTTGCATTCTCCTTTCAAGCAAAAGTTTTTGCACAGTAACACAGGTATGTAAACAGTTTGGCTCATTCTTGAGAATGGTCCCAGCAGATCTGACCCATAGAACAGCCCCCTTCACCCCTCCTCCACCTCTGGGAAGTATTCTCTCTCAGTGCTGTTGAAGCACAGCCTCGGGCCATATCCTTCATCATTATAAATGTAATGTTTTCTTTGAAATCAATTCATTGTCATTCAAATGCAAAAAAATTTATTAAAGCATAGTTATAAAATCATAGGTTTAGTGTGCTAATTATATTTATTTTTAATAAGTATGAGATTATATAATTATTAAATTTTAAAAAAAAAAGTTCACCCGTGTGTCACCTGAAATCATCTGGGTATCCACGGGTTCACAGTCTGCATTTTGGGAGATGTAGATGTTCTCTTCCTGGGATCTAATCCCCACCCAACTGGGTACAGCTCAGCTTCATACCTTCCCGTGATGTTTGACTTCACGGAAGGGGAAAGGCTAATTCTCCTTGCCCTATGGAGACGTGTCCATCGGCCGTGCCAGCCTTAACTCTCCTCAGGACATTTGCACTGGGTGCCAGCAATGTGCCAGGGGTGCACTAGGGGCAGGGTGCGGGGCAGGCAGGGCAGGACACAGAGAAGAGCACAGAGAAGAGATGCAGAATTGAGGCAACACACATTTTGTTGAATGTATGGAAGGCGAACCTAGGTAGACGCCTGATACACTGATAACAACGAGCCCAGTCATGGTGCTGAGCACGAATTTGTGAGAGGTACTCAACTCTGAGTGAGAGCAGAGGAGATGGCATTCAGCATGGAACAAGGCAACGGCCGGTGGTAGGGAGAAGGGTGCCAGGCAAAGGCCAGGGGCAGGTGGGCGGAGGCCACTTCAAGGTTAAACTACGGTAAAGTCTTGGTTCACGGACGGATTCGGGAGAGGGGTGTCCATTAAAGCCGAAAGTCCGTCACATAATAAAGTAGGTTTTCCAAATGCATGTTCGAAATCTGACAAATTAGTTTACCTATTTTCACATATGCAGCCATGTTTGTGTAATTAAAATTAAGTATGCGTGAACTGTTGACTTTCACAGGAAAGTTTTCTATATGTATTACTGTAATTTTATTTATTTTTTGTTAATCTTCACCCAAGGATATTTTTGGCATTGATTTTTAGAGAGAGTGGAAGGGAGGGAGGAAGTGGGGAGAGAGAGAGAAGCACTGATGTAAGAAAACGTCATTTGGTTGCCTCTCACATGTACCCTGGTGGGGGCCTGGGGATCATGTAATCCAGGTATATGCCCTTGACTGGGAATAGAACCCGTGACTCTTCAGTGTGTTGACTGTGATCTAACCACTGAGTACACTGGCCAGGGCAAGTATTACTGTAATTTTAAATTTATACTGAATAGGTCCAGCAAATGTGTATCTTCCCCAGTCACGGTGAGTGGGCACATGCACATGGCTGGGGCGGGGCTTAGCCCAGAGGACATCTGCAGAAAGTCACGCCATCCACAACAGAACCGACTCCCCAGCGCCAGGCGGTGTGATCCCGTGCTCACCATTCACTGAACATTGTTTACTATGGGGATTCTTGGGTTTAAACGTGTAGACTGTCGTTGTAGATGTGTGATATTTATTTATGCTGGAGAAATTACTACAGCATTTTTTGAACATGTGGTCTATTTGCTAAAATTTGTTAAAAATAACAGTGAATCGATAACAAAAATAACCTGTTAATCTAATTATGAGCAAAACTTGGTTGAAAGCATTTTAAAATTAACAAGGTATTAATTTTCTTTTTTTTTAAAGCACTTCTTTTTTTTATCCTCACCTGAGGACATTTTTCCATTTTTTGTTCAGATAGAGTGGGAGGAAGAGACAGAGAGAAACATCGATGTGAAAGGGACACATCGAGTGGTTGCCACCTGTACAACCCAACCAGGGCCAGGGACAAACTGCAACTGAGGTACGTGCCCTTAGCGGGAACCGAACCCGGGTCTCTCTGGTCCGCAGGCCGATGCTCTAACCGCTGAGACAAACTGGCCAGGGCACAAGGTGTTAATTTTCACAAAGGACATACAGACCAAAAATTTTGTCCATTAAATGTGAAGTCTAGTAAATCGAGGTCTGCAAAATTGAGGGTTTACAGTATACAGCGACAGCTGGGACCTGGGAACATGTATGTGGGCATCTGTGCAGGGGAAAGGTGGGCTGAAAACTCCATGTTAGAACACACAAGCCCTCACATGCATACTCAGTCTACCTGTGCTTGCATCATGACTCTACTTGACCCTAGAGCACCTCTGCCGGGTAAAAGGGGCCGTTATTGTTATCCCTCCACTTCCTTTTCTTTTTTTTTTAATAAAATAAAAATACTAGGGGTCAGATCAATAAATAGCAC